CTCTCTGTTTCAGGGTTACAGATACAGCAGCTCTCCTATCAGACCGGCTCCAAGATGTGCCCATATCCTGTATACTCTTAGAGACACGAAGGCTGTCATGATTAGATGACCTCCGTACACACCGTGATATCCACAATGTGAAGGAAGGCCTTCTGCTCTGTCTAATCTGACTAACAAATTAACAGTGCACATGATGTATAAATAATAAAACCTAACAATGTACACTGTCCCTGTCAAAGAAATAAAATAAAAATAAAAACCAAAATGTGTGATGCAAACTCCAAAAACATGCAAGAACAAAAACCAAATGCGATAGAAAAATGCTGCTAAAAATAAAATACAAAATGCACGGAAAAGGTGGCAAAGAGCTGCAAAATCCAAAACAAACAAACACACAAAAAAACCCAAATGCAACAGAAAAACGCTGCAAACAAAAAACATTTTTTTTCCAACCAAATTTACTTTAAATCTAAAAAAAAAAAAAACTAACATAAAATAGGGACGATTTAAGACCATTGCAGTTACAGTAAATAATTGCTTGACCTCATCCTGGGTGAACTATAATCTAACCTTATAACTGTACTTCTACCAGTACTTTGGTAGAATAATATATTATTATTTGTGGGTCTTCCAGATCAGATCTGTCATTTTCATAGACTTCCAATAAAATATAAATCCAGCTCAATAAACAGCGAAGGTAAAGTTTAAAGAATCGGTATCCTCAGCTTATCTTTAAAATGTCATGAATAACGGTGACATGAAGCGTGTCCTTAAGCAGGCCACACTTCATGTCACAATAAACTTGACAGAGTCCAGCTGCTTGTGCACAGAGGGCAATCCATCTTCAAAGATGTGTGCAGCGAAGTAGGAAACTTCGCATAAGCTTTGTTTTCCCTACAGATGCACAACATTTGATTATTTCTAAACTGATGAATTGTTTCAGTGTGAGATTAATCACTGTAATCACACCATCATCTGATCTCCATTCATCTGGCTACAAAAAATATACCTTGACATGAGTTTGATGTGGGTGTGTAGAGCTCCCATTCACATGAGCTACAAACCCCATAGGGGAATGCCAGAATCTGTTATTTCACTCCCTCCAGATGTTCACTGATGCAGGAATCAATGCAGACCAGATGGACGTCTCTTTACCAGAAAGCTTTAGTGGTTCAGCCAACAAATCCGCACCAAAAACAGCATCATGCAAAGCAAAGATTCAAACCAACGCTCATTACAAACACTACTTAAAAGATGCAGTTTGGAATGTGCTGAGAGTACCATCTCTGTGCAGGACCCAGCTCGCATGGTCTGCGTCTGACTCATATCCGCAGGTGTTGGATTCAAAGCTGCATGAGCCTGGCAGGAGCCGGCTTTGGGCTTGGACCACGGCTCCTAGCACAGGAATAGAAGCAGAGAGGAGAGAGCGAACGGTAAATATGAATCATCAGCAAGTGTCAGTATTCTCCAGCATTCATAAGTACTCACCCACATAAGTCAAGAGGTAGATTAGGAGCTTTGCAGCTTTCGTTTGGAGGAAGGAGGCCATCGCTCCCTGATGCAACTCAGTAAAAGATGCAAAGTTTTTTTTGTTTATTTATTTTTACTCAAGACTTTTCTGGACGGTTGGTCTGAGTGTGTCTCCAGCTTAAAGACTGGCAGCACACTGCAAGGAGGAGGAGGAGAAACGGGGAGCTAGAGGTCGGAGAGGAAGGGTGGGAGGAGAAAAGAGTGATGAGCTGAATGGAAAAAGGGGACATGCAAAAAACAGGAGAACAGAAAGAGGAAGATGAAAAGCATGCTGCAAAAGGCGGTCATTTTATTCTGTAACGTTATTACCAATGCTATAATAACACAGATAAAGACAACCCATCTGCTGCACTTTTTGAAAAAATGCAAAGATTCTAGAGGAGAAGTAAAGCATGAATGAGCTCCAGCTGCACAACTCGGAGTAAAGCGTGAGGGAGAAACATTTAAAAGCAGTATAAAGCCCTGTGTTCTAATGTTATTGTTGGGATCTGGAGATCCTCGACCTTCTCCAGCAGAGTGCGCTGTGGATCCTCCTTGGCTGGAGCTCTCCAGCACAGCTGACGCTCATCAGCTCATCAGGAGACCGGCCTTTATAAGCAGCTGCCAGACCTTGCTTCGACGCCGCAGTGTTAGCCAAGTTTGGTTAGCGAACCTGAGCCTCAGAATTTACT